TAGATAACTCTAGGATAAGTGACGATTCTGTATCTGCGCATAGCTTCGTTAGCAACAACGGGAGTGCCACCGACTCCCGTTCATGTGATCTACAGGTGATCAGTGATATTGGAGAGGTCAAAGAAATATACACTGTTTGTAATGGTAATCTAAGAGAATGTACACAGCAACAGACACGCCCTGTAATCACTAAATACGACAGCAGCTTTTCCGGTAACGCGAAGATAACTATTAAATTACCCCCTGATCATACTACTGCGAGGAAGGGGAAAAATTTAATCAAAATATGGATGTGCTTAACGAACTACCAAATCCGTCCGTGCAATGTAGAAATGCTGAATCACTTCACAGCTGAAGCGGAATTTCCCGACTATTTGGAGGCCAATCTGGCCTTGGAGGTTATAGAAAAAATCCCCAACAAACTTAAGGGGATCCTGCAGCCGTATGATTTACCGACATTATCGTTAATCAATGGATCTTTTAATTGGCTTTACAGAATTGCAAGTTTTTGGTCTAGAATTAAAGTCCGCACAAAAATCTAGGGTGGAAAACGCGATTTTATATCAAAAGCACAAAAAAATTAAAAATATTACTTATTGGGGCACATATACACAGCTGTCACCTGACGACAATATTTGCTTAAAACAAAAATTCTACAGTTTATACGTACATACATAATGTTTATCATCCACCTTTGGGAAAATATGTAGGAATAATATCGTGTAAGTAGAAGTAAGATTCAATGCGTACAAAAAAAGATCAATCTAATAATTATTTTAGTAATGCAAATACGGATGCAGGATGACAAGAAGAGCAACAACAGTAGTTGCCGGATCTTGCGTAAGATAGCGAGCAATCGAAAAAAAGACAGATGTCATTTCGTTAGACAAAAACAGATATAGGGTGCATTCGGGGAGCACGCTATTAGCACAATTATCGTCCAAAACTGTTCGAGGAGACGCTTTGTGGCGCTGTGATATACGATGATGACGTCACTGTAAAGGCAGCGTGACGTCATCACTCGCGCTATTTTCGCTATTATTTTCGAGGTGAGGCACGAAATACTATTGGCGCTTAAGCTGCGTTCGGGGAGCTTGCTATCGCTGTCGCGCTATTGGCTCCTCGAACAAAGTTCATAGCGTTTGGGTTTATAGTGTTAAATAGCGTCTCCCCGAATGCACCCATAGGGAAAACAAAATTAGAAAGGTTGACATTATCGACATCGAGGAAGTTCGCCAGTCACTGCAGGATCCTCTTAAAGCTTTTGTAGAACATCGCTCCATGATCAGGAGAGGAGTTATTGCGGACTGGCCTTCAACCATCAAAGACCTATGGTCGGTAATCCAGGACAAGTCCGGTATCATTGGTATGGAACGGATGTACCGACGTAAATGGGATAACACGTTAAAGAAAACTACTTTATCAGAAACAGATAATATAATTGTGACGTTCAAAGGAGTGGGTATCAGAGATCTAAAGATATTTACGAATAACGTTGATTTGAAGATTAGAGCGTTTGTCCCGCAGACCAGGCAGTGCTACAATTGTTACAGGTTCGGTCATACAAAGATATCTTGCAAAAGCGAAGCGTTTTGTATTGTATGCGGAGATAAAGCTCACGGTCAGTGCGAGGAGTCTGTTAAGTGCCGCAACTGTAGTGGCCCGCATAAATCTACATATAAAAAATGTCCGGTTTTCGAGAAGAACGTACAAATTAATATTGAAATGGCTCGTAGAAATATTTCTTTTTTCAGTGCTAGACGTATTGTGGAAGGGGGAGATCGTCCCCCAGCCCCCTCGACGGAGAGCTCGAAAGATGCGGATGCCTGGCCGAGTTTACCGCCTTCGAAGACGGCTTCGTACGCTGGTGTCACGCGTTCCCGTGATAATACTGGACATAGCTTGCGGCGCTCTACGGAGGTCCCTCAGTCCCGACGTGTGGAGTTGGTTAGGCGATCGACGGGTCTTGCCCGTGGGAGATCCCGGGAATCCTCGGACGGCTCTAGTCAAAAATATTACAAGCGTTTCGATTTACGCTCAGAAGAAATCAACAAGAACAAACAAGGTATCATGTTCTCCTCGGCCAGGAACGGTGCCTCCTGGTCGAGCTGCGATGGGTCCCGGGCGTCGGGAGAGAATTCGCCGGCGGGACATTTGCCACAGGTGCCGCAGGATTTTATTAATGGAATAAGGGAAATGTGGCCACTTCTGCTACAGTTGTCAAACAATTCGGACTTCTGAGCATTGATGGACCGCATTGGCGATAGGGGTAAGCCCTTGCAGAATGAAACTTTTAGTATAAGGGAGATAAATGAATCAGCTGACCGGTCGGATCTACTGGAGAACGAGAGGGCTAAGCTTCTCCATTCGATATAGCGTTCAATCTCCTATTGTGGAATTGTCGTGGTTTTGGTACCAGCAAAAATGAATTATCTATAAGCGTGTTGTGGATTTTGACATCGTGATCCTGACTGAAACTAAATGTACGGAGAATAAGAAAATTAATTTTTCAGGTTTTGACACCGTTCAGAGCAAAAATCTGCTAAATAGTGGCGGCGTATCGATCTCTGTTCGAAGGAGTATTGAGTTCGAGGTTATACCGGCTTCGGAGTAATGCACCCTTCGGATACGACTGTATTGGCATTAAGACCAGAAATTTGGATAGCAATTGTATTATTATGGCGGTGTATAGACACCCCCGCGACCCCATCACATCACCTGATATCAGATTGGTGGCCGGACAGGTACCTAGCTCTGCGAACTCGATTGTGTTGGGTGATTTTAATGCCCACAATTCTGCCTGGAATTGCGAGCTCACTTCCCAGGACGGCGAGATTCTTCATGACACAATGCTAGATATGGGTTTTATTTGCGTAAATACTGATACAAAATCCAGAGCTGGCCGACGAAATCAACGGGACTCAAATATTGACCTGGCTTTTGGCACATCTGGTATGATGGATAAGATTGATTATAATCAGCTGGAGGACCCATGGGACAGTGATCACCACCCGATAGTCTTCACTATGGATGGAGACACCCTCCCGTATAGAAAAGCCTTGAATAGAATCTCGACAAAAAAAACTGATTGGTCCCGTTTCCACTTACTCGTCGATAGTGCAATCAAGGCAGACCTCCTACCGCATGTCGGCTCCTTCTCCGAGGACACTGGTGCCTATTACGGGAAGTTTATTGATATACTTAGATCATCGGTGAACCTTGCATCTGGCAGAACTAAGGAATTTAAACCTCCTGAGGTCAATAAGGCTAAAAAACGTAAAATACAACACAGATGGTGGGATGCGGAGTGCGACGAGGCTATATGTAATAGGAAAGAGGCGTTCAGTAATTTCAAACGATGTAAGTCCATTAATTCTTGGGTCAGGTACAAGCGAGCATGTGCCATAGCTAGGAGGACGTTTGCCTTCAAAAAGAAGAAATGTTTCGAAGATTTCTGTGCAGGTATTAACCGTTTTACCAGCATAAGTTACGTCTGGAATACCATCAGGATTTTAAAAAATGCAAGAAACCAAGTCCGTTGGAATTGCTGGCATACTAAGAACAGAGAAGAAGAAATTAAAAAATCCATTGATAAACTTGCTCCCCCATATGTGGGGGCGGACCCATCATTCCCAATTAATCTGCGTGAGGACGATTCGCCTCTGAGCTCGCCGTTCCGGAGATCTGAAATGGATAGGGCCATTACAATGATCAAAAAGAATTCTGCTCCGGGTCTTGATGGCATCAAATATAAAATGATCAAGGAGCTTCCCGAGTCGGCGCTTTCCTGTTTGTTGGAATTGTTTAACTGCATATGGCTTTCAGACTTTCTCCCGGAGAAATGGCTTCATTATCAGGTGGTCTTTATAGACAAGCCCGGCAAAGAAAAGGTCCGACCAATTTCTCTGTCTTCCTGCGTGGGTAAGATATGCGAACGCATGATCAATGAGCGACTAACTTGGTGGGCAGAGAACGAAAACTAGTTTAGTCAATCGCAAAATAGCTTCCGCAGGGGAAAGTCCTGTGCGGATAACCTTGTCAAAGTGGTATCAGATATCCGAGCTTCACTGTGTATGGGTGAGTACACGCTTGCTGCGTTTCTTGACGTTTCATCTGCCTATGATAACGTCGATTTCCGCATCATGATTGAGACTTTGATTGCGTCTGATTGTCCCGCGGGTATCGTCAAATTTATATGTAAATTGCTATATCGGAGACTAGTTCGCTTTATTGTCAATTCACAGGAATTCAAGGAACGACTAGTATATGTGGAACTCCCGCAGGGCGCGGTTCTCAATCCGGTTTTGTACTCTCTCTACACTAAAAGGATCTGCTCTGACCTTCCGGAGGGCGTGAACTCGTGCGAGTTTGCCGATGACATCGGCCTGTATGTGTGCGGTCCTAATAGACACCGTAATCGGGAGCTTTTGCAACGGGCGGTTAATTTGGTTGCCGAGAGATTGCGATCCATTTAAAATAATTGATAGAAAATGATAGAAAATTTTGCCTTTCCTTTCCTATGGTGATTTTGAATCCTCTTTTTCAGAACATACTTAAGAAATTTCACATAGTTAGATTGTTTTGCAGATTATCATATCCTTTGTAAATATCTTATAATTTTCCTTGTTTTTCTATCTTTTTCATTTTATATAAAAATAGAAATTGTTGTTCTATGTAAATTTCGATGAAAACTCATAATATCAAAGTTGCTATTTCTATGTCAATCAATATTTCTTCTATATCATAATTTATATAGAATCAAATTCTTATCAATGTTATTCTTTACGAATAATTAGAATGCCTTGATACTCGTGTTATTAAATGTAACTCTAACTATTATCTGTATATTAATTAATATTTTTGTATC